CGCAACCTCCCTGCGTTATCCTAAGGCGCCCTCACATAAACCCGTGGAAAGGTCGAAGCTGTAGTGCAAATAGAGCGCATGCTCTAGGTTTAGTGGGGTTGCAAGGGGGAAGGGAGAGAGCTGTGATAAGAAGGGAATGAGGTAGGGATGGAAGGGGAAAGTGGGGGGGAGTAGCGCGAGGCAACGGTCGCTCGGCTCGGCTCGGCTCCGCTCGGCCAGAGGGGCTGGAGGGGGCTGGATGGGGCTGGAGGGAGCTAGAGGGAGCTAGAGGGAGCTAGAGTGGCTAGAGGGGCCTGGAGGGGCTGGTGGGGCTGGAGGGGCTGGAGGAGGATAAAGGGGGGAGAGCCCCCTCGAGTTTCCATGGTTACTGCGCTCGCGCCTTGACATTGACAAATGGCTAGCCGAGGGTGAGCCGAACAGCGGTGCTTTTACATATGCAGGGACACCCATTTGTCCATTCGTGGGGTTGTGCAGAGAGTAGAGTCTCATTCTCCACCAGTTCGTCCCTATCTGCACACGTTTGAGTATAACCCTCCTGTCGGCGCTCACGGGTCCACCAAGTCTTATGCCTAAATTTCCAGTATCTCTCTCACTCCTTTATGTACATGGGCTTTATGTACTATAGATGATTCTGATGCTTACCCAGTCCTCTGTCAGGGTGGAATGCCTTCTCTCTATTGTCGGTGGACGCGCTACGTCGACTGGCTAATAAATGACAAGGGATGAAATTCATTTTTTTTTTCTCTTCTTTTTCAATCATCAGAGATTTCTTTCGGGGAGGGAACGGTTTTTTTTGCGCACGTATGGAAACTTTGTAATCGGTGAAATTTGAGATTTGTATTTTTTGTAGGATGTCGGCTTATTAGGACGCAAAATGTCGGACGCTTTTTTTGGGGTGTGTATGGGGGGGGGCAAGTTTTTTGTACTTCAGCTTCGATTGGACGATAATGGGATACATTACTGATAGTGAAATTGAATGATTTTTTCTCTCATATGTAATTACTCTTAATATTCATTAAAATTTAATTCATTATTATTTTTTTTCAATTTCCTGACCTTGAGAGACGAAATCATTTTAATGACCCCGAAAATTAAATATAAAAATTTAAACATTTCTCCTTTTTTCATGACTTGTGCTTTTGAAATTTGGATTTGGATTAGAGCTTAAAATAATAATAATAATAATCACAATAGTTGATATAATTTTTTAGATGACCATTAATTTATTAGTAAATAACTATACTATACGTAATGAAAGAGCTAAGGTAGATATGGTTTAGAAAATAGAATTCTTAATCATATATTTCAAGTTGCGAAATCTTTAAATGCAGGAATTAATTAAAATAACAATTAACCCACAAATTGAAAAATTTTCAGGCACATGGATTCGATTTTTATTGCTACTGCCTTGCGAACTGAAAGATAATTATTTTAATTTTCATGATGAAATGAATATGGGTTTTGGGTTTTTGTTTGTTGTAAATAATCTCCATAAGGGACTTATTGATTTTCATTTAGAGTGTAGGATTCAGTGAACTCTATTAAAAAATCACAATATGATGTGAACCGGATGATTCGGTGATGCAGAAGAACATATTGTTTATGACATTTTTTGGAATGTTATAACCAAACCCAATAGAGCGTATATTACATTTCTATAAAAAAATTGGAAAACGGGCATTTGTTGAAAGTTCATAATTTTTTAAATTCAATTATTCCATAATTTCATTAAACTAACAATCCTCGTGGATTCTGCAATTTGAATCTCATAATTAATTTTACAACTAATATATATTTCGCATAAATATACCCTCATGAGGACTATATATTAAAATATAGGATATGAATATATTGAATATATCCTGAATATATTACCGCATATGATACCGCATATATTTGAGTGTAAGGCCCGGATGAACTGTCTGGAAAAGATAATTCACTCCAAAATTGGGACTTCTAATTACTCCGTCAATTAATCGTTTTTTCCGATAATTGTTAGCTAGCGGCCTAGTTGTTGACAACCACTAGAACGCTAGCTAACAATTATTTAAAAAAACGATTAATTGCAAAAGTAATTAGGAATCCGAATTTCGGAGTAAATTATCTTTTCTAGATAATCCACCCGAGCCTTAATAGAAATGTAATGTGTTGTACATAATTATTAGCATAAATATTTTTTTGGTGAAGGATAATGGAATGTTATAATAGTATCCCATGAGGAAAAGCGATACCCCTCACGGGGCCAGTATTCCAGTAACACCCTTATATACCGGTATATTAAACCAAAGTGAGACTACAACTGTCTTTCTCTTGTTGCCAAAGTGGCCACTCCCTCGTGCCGCCTCTAATATCTCATTACTGCGCCACCAGTCTCAGTCCCGGAGCCATTACGAGATTGTTTGCTAGTAGGCATCAAGTCCGCGTGATATATCGCCTCTCTCCCACGATACCTTCGATTTTACGAGAACTACTGTCTTTCACTCAAACCTTTTTTTTTCAATTTCCTCCCTCCACCCATCCCACCCGATCTTACATAATTAAATAGTTCGTTAATTGCGAAAAATCTGTGAAGGAAATATATTTCACAAAATATATTATTGGGATATTCTCTCAGGCCAGTCCGCATGGATTACGGAATATATCTCAAATATATATCAATTATACGCACATATATCCTGACGAAAAAAGTAATATATTAATATGGTATTAATATAATATTATTAAAAAATTATTATTGTGTTATATTAATATATATATTAACTGATATTAATATATACATAATATAATGGTGATTATTGCATGTTGGTGAGATATATTTGCCATATATTTGTTATTTTCAGGTAGTCCAAGGTCAGATTGATTCGATGAACATTTTTATTAATTATTTTTCCAGGAAATTGATTTTTTCACTCTTTTTTTTGCGTCCGCATGGAATGAACTTGGAAATTCATTTTTTGACTTAGGGATTCAAATATTCCACTTTTAGAAATCAAAAAATAATTATTGAAATCTAATTGTGGAAAACTATCTATTTATTTGCAGGATTGCATAATTTGTTAATAAAAATCTGTATACTTTAACAAAAATATTTGAAAATAGCCCATCAAAAAATTGAATTACCGATGAAATGAAATGTATAAATAATCTAATCCAAATATTTTACGCTAATTGACCGAAAGAGTTACAGATGAATACCGAGAGAACAGAAAACGCGATGAATGATAATTAAAGAATATTCTTGTGATTGAATTAGAAAATGGAAACGATATAATAATATGAATTGTGTCAATTACTTAAACAATTTCAATGACGTCAGAAGCATCAAGATGGTTAATTGATGAGAAAAGAGACAATAATAGAGAGAAAATAAAGGGTGCCCTATTTTTATGATTGTAATGCGTATGCCGATAGTCCCTGGAACAGTGAAAAATAATTGGTGTCTTTTGGCTTGATTCTCGACTTGCACAACTAACAAGGTCCATTTCCATGGAATAACCATCAACGGTAATTGGCACCTTCTATCCATGAAACCCACCCCTCCTTCATATCAAAACCTATCATATTTCAAGCCCTTGGTTACAAGAGACAGAGAAGGAAGGTGGGTGTTAGGTCGATCTCTCGGTGAATGTTGCGTGTTTGGTACGAGGAAAATGCCCGTTTTATACAGCCTCTGACGCCCTTTAGGACACACGTAGGGTGAGTACTTGACAAAACGGGGATAACAAAGACCAGAAACCATTCGACGACTCACTAACAACCCCCCAAACACCCCCCTTTGGCCACACTAAAGCTACCCAAGATATTTTCTGACGTGAAACGTGTTGCTTTTGTCATTTATTTCACTCGAGCCCTTTTTCCATCTTTTTGTTGCCATTTTTTTGTTCACTTTTCTGATGAAAATGTTGCAAAGGACAGCCACCATTATTTATCACATTCAAAGGGTTTCCGTGGAAATTTTTTTCCAACACAGCAGCTTTCTCGTATCTTCTGTTATCTTTTATTATCTCCCGTTTTTTGCTTCTCAATGGAACCATTGTAATCTCTGAATTTAAGTTTTCTTTTTTTTTTGTGTGTTTCAATGACCTTCTATGACCCAAAAAGGTCGAAAATTAATTTTTGACAACTTTTTCGAATTTCACTTCCGATATAATTGTTGATAAACCCCAATCGTCAATATTAATTAAAATTTAATTAATTCATTAATTTTCCAAGTTTTTCATTTTTTTTTAAAACCGTTTTTTCACGATAACTGAACAAAATTGTTATTAAACAATTACATAATAACTCTAAAAACTTTATTTTGATGTATTGTCGATCGAGTCGGAAGATAAAAATAATAGCAACAATCGTTAGGTCAAAATATGAGAAAAATTGTTAAAAATTCGTCCTTTGGAAATGGTTCCAATTCTGGGCCAGTCGCGGAATATTTGACTTCAATTGCATTTAATCACATCTTAAAATAATAGTTTCGACTTTGAAATTACGGGATAATTAGCGCTGATATAATTGTTCAGCCGATTTTTGCAAATTGTAATTTTTGCAAATTTCGATTAAAAAAAAATGAAAAGTAATATCGAGAGAAAGGTTCAGAAGTTGACGAATATTGAAAAATAATAATGAAGATATCAATTAGCAGTTTGGTTGATTTTTATTTTGCTCCCATCAGGCAAGTAGAAGTATCCTCGGTAAATTTACAAAGCAGAACACAATGAGACATGTTTTTTGAATATTTTTTTTTTCTTTAATTTATTTGCCATTCTTTACTTAGGTGTCAATAGTCATCAATGCGCAAACAGTGGAAAAAATCTGATTCCATACCGATACAATAAATTTTAGCTTATTATACATCATCATTATCATTATCATTTATCATTATGATGAACGTCATAATCATATTACCATCATTCATAATTATACAATAATTATTATACATTACTCTCTCAATTTTTATCACCCTCTCTCTCAAGCATGTCGATTTACTCCAGTTTCTCTTTTATCTATTTTTTTTTTAATCAAGACTTTTCCTTCTTACCATCAGTCATTCACAGTAAAATACATGCACTCGTTTTCACACACTCGCCATCCAATCACCTGTTTTTCATTTTTAAAATCATTTCTTTCCTCGTATCGCGGCGCATAAAAACTCGGATTTTTAATTCTTCAATCTTTTTTAGATTTAAAATCCTCTAACATGATTATTACTTAGATACCTTAACTGTTACTTCGTATACATTTTTTAAGGCGATGATTCAATCGAATGAACTCATTTCATAAACGAACAGCCAATGCGTACAACCGTATCCATTTCATGTACTGATTTGCATTAAATTTGTTTTCAACTTCTCGGTCATTTAAAAAATCGATAAAATTATCGAATGCTCATGTCGTCATGATGTTCTCACGCTACTTAACACTATATTCTCGTCTCTGATTCGTTATTGGTGAATTTCTGATAAGAAAAAAAAGCCCTGGAACGAATGATAATGATTGGATCCCAGAATTAATGGCTACAGCGACGATAACAGGTTCTCAATGATTAATAGTCTCGAAATAATCAGCTAGAAAATGTTGAAGTCACGCGTCGTCACACCCGTTATCATGTTAAACCGATTTACAACAAAATTAAATAATCTACTTGTCAACAAATACAATTTCATTAAAATGAAAAATTCATCGATTCTTGTGATAACGGTATAACGAGCGATTCAACAATTGCATCAGCATTTTTCCTTGGCCCATGAAAAATATTCAAGTCCTTGACTATTTATTGAAATTAGAAAACTTCAAAAAGTTATTTCCTAAAATTTATCATTCAATATTTATATTTATATTTTTTATTTGAGAAAAAAATAATTGAAGAACTACTGACCATGCGAGAAAATAATTCGGCAATTCGTTTTTCAATGCAAATCGAGAAACAGGAAATGGACGATTTTAACGCCAATTAATCAAGATGATAAACGGTAGACATTTGCACCTGAGTCTTTCGGTATACGTGGGTTTTTATTTTCGTTTTGTTTAAACTTGTTGTTTCAGTATACTAGGGCATCGATAGGCTTTGGCTCGAGGCACGTCAGAAAGATTGATTGATATATCGAGTGGACAAATCCCGATGTAAACAAAAATCGTGTGCCTTTGTTTATGAAAAATAAAAGTTCGACGAGCGAACGCTCCAAAACCTACGACTTTGAACTTTAAAAATTCATATTCAATCGAATGAGTGAAGGAACATTTTTATCTCTCCCTTGATCTCTCCGAGAGTGATAAAACGCAATATCAATATCGATTCATATCGATAACGAGTGGATGTAGGGTTGAATGCTTGCCGACAGTTTCCCCCGATAAATAGACTCATTAACGAGATAATTCCAAATTGAAAAAAAATGGAATTTGACCCATCGCGTTTCATCACTCGACTGAATTTGCATTTCTCATATTCTACGAGCCAATCCATCACTCTGTGAAAATTCTAAAAATACATTTTCCTCATATGCATTTACCTGTAATTTCTCCTCGTATATTCAGAATGATTATGATTCCTCGCACCTAAAAGGAAAATCAAAAAATGTCCCATGATTGATGAATCCTCTCCACGTGCGTTTCGCATTGAAAAAAAAAATCAAAGATTCAAGTGTTTGAATTCAACAATTATATCATTCCTGTGATTCCTTCTTTAAATTGTCTTTTACGTATATGAAGGACGCGCGCGCGATAATTACTTCGATATAGAAATATATAATTACCCTTTTGTGAGAGTGTTGGGAGTGAATAAAGGGGCGAAATGATGATCAATTACATGTTTTTTTTTTTAAATTCTTGGAAGAAGGAACAGATTCAGTCGAACGTGGGATATGGACGTCAGTAAATATTGAAAATATTTCTCCTCAACAAAATGAATAAAAAAAATCGAACGAGAGGGATATAAACGAAATACTTTCAGGCCCTAATTACCTAAAATTTGAATATGTCTATTTAGTTATGATACATTGCCTTTCCCGTTTCTCCAATCTCGTCCTTCGTTCGGTTTAAAATTTCATCTAACTGTCATTTTTTGTACGTTCTCACTCGTTTTTTCCATTCGCTCTTTATTAATCCACACGAGAAAATTTATCAAATTATTTTCACTAATCATTCATTTTCTCAGACATTCGCACTGTTGAAACCTCTCACACTTCTTCCCATCAATAATTTTCAATTTTAACTTCCCCATTTTTCAAAATTCATCCCTTTCTCAATTTTCAATTAACTATTTATACACAATATATTATAGTAAACTGTTATTATTAATTTTTAATTATTCCTAGGACGAGTGGTAGCCTCTGTTCGCCCCTCTGCTCTCCTCACTGTCATTTCTTTCTCATTTTTCTTTTAAGCAATGAAAAAATATTCGGACGCCGATAATTAATCGAGACATTCTAGTCGGTTTAGTGACAATTGTGTCATTTTATTGAATTTCATTGCATCCAAACGACAAATAACAGTGAGGAGACTATTTTATACATGTATCCTTCATTACATCGGTTGGTTTTTTTTTCTTTTTATTAATTTTAGATTTAATAATAATTAAGAACTGTACAAATTTTTAATGTCTCCTAAGTCGAGAAAATGTCGACGCTGCGGGAATCTGGTCACACACAAACTCAATTTCATTTCCAATTGATTTTTCCAGATTATCAGTTGGATTTGATAATTTTTTATCACTCCATGCTGTGAATTGTCTCAACCTTTTCAGGGGTTTGGATCATTAAAGTCACTGAGCGCAGACTTTTCCCATTATTTTTATCCTTTTCATATCTTGCGAACACCAGGTAATGTACATGCCCGCTAATTTTTCCTATCACTATATTTCAATTATATAGTCCTTTCTCGTTTATCTCCATTCGTCGATTGCGATTGTATTAAAATTTAACATTTATATCTCAATCACTACAATATTACACCGCAATATTTGTACAAAGAACAATCACAAGAATGTTTTTATTCCCTTTTATTCTGAATTTTTTTTTTTTTTCGTTCTAGCGACCGATATTTTTCACTTTTCTTCAAAATCCTTTGGCCGCTTTTAGTAATTTTTTTTTTCGTAGATTCGTTCTTGATCGGTATCAACCGTTTACGGTCCTGTCGGGCTTTTCGTTTGATCGGTGAGTGCAATTTTTAATGCATCACCGGTGGGGTGGGACCACTCGCTGAAGAGATCGTCGTCACTTCCGTCGTCGGATATTTCATCGCGATTTTCCGCGGACACGTGTCTTTTTGAGTTCTGTCAGTGGAGATACTCCGAGACGTGTGTCATTTCCGGTCGATCGGTGAGTGCCAGGTTTCTAGGCTTTTTCTCTAGGTGTATTTTTTTTTTTTCAGGGCTTTCAGGGTCCGTGGACTCGGTCACCCGCGGATTTACTGCACCGTTTATCTAGGCTCTTAGCTGGAACAGAAGGAAATGCGGATATTCAGGTGGGGGTTAATTAAGTTTTCTAGAAGAATTCTTCGGGTGTTGGGAGTTGGAAATTTTCTAGCGTTTTTCAATTAAAGGAGACCGATAGGATATCTGTAATCGGTAGTGAAGTCCTCAATGAAGTGCAGTTGAAAATTGTTTTTTTTTCGATTGAAGAATTTTTAAACAAAAATTAATTGAAGAACTAAAAATTTATTGAATCATCTCATATGTAATTTAGAGACTTGTTCAGAAAATTAAACGGATTTTACCGGTAATAAAAAATCAGTGCAAATGAATTCTCTATTGATTAATTCTCAAAAAATTACGATTTAAGTTGTTATCGCAATTAATTATTGATTATTGTTTCTGGAATATGTAAGGAATTCGAATTTTCAAATTCATTTGTTTATATGGAGTATTGAAAATTATGAAAAAAAAAGTTAGAAAATCGAATTTCTTGGATTAATTAGAAATTCTATAAATAATTTGAATTTACAAAAAATTTTAGCAATGCAACTCAATTAACTATTGGATAGAATTTTTATTATTACGGTTTTTTGTAATGTTTGGAATTTAAAGATGAGATTTTATTGAAGTTTTTTTTTCGGAGCTGAATGATTTTTTCCATATTTATCGAAGAATTTTAAAGTTGGTGAAAATTATCGAATTCTCAGCGCAGAAATAACAATAAAAAATAATAATAGTTAATAATAAAACAAACAATGGTCGAAAATGAAAAAGTAAACAAAATAATTAAAGAATAACAATAAAGAGACGATAAATGCAGTCATTGAATAATAAATTATCAATTATTAATCGATTATGACTGATTACCCTACCATAATACGAAGAATTGAAAATTGAAGGCCTGAATTTTCAATTAAATTATTAAAATTAAGTTATTGTTATCTTTTCCAATATTTCCCACATTTTCAGTGTCAGATGGACTTGAAGATGAATTTCATGATTCTTATATTCAAGAAATAAAATGATAGGTCAACGAAGAATTTCACAAAAATTTCGGACATTTTCGCTCTAGAAATTTCAAGTGCGATTGTTCAACCGTCAGATATGAACATTTAATTGATAAAAACAATAACTCAGTAAATTTACCTTTATAAATGGTGTCCATAATATTCAGGTGGATAATGATACTGGTTGTGGAAGGTTGGATCACCAGGGGGTCGGTGCATCATGCTGGCTGCTTGTCCGTCCATCATGTAGCCCATCGTCGCATCCGGACTGTATGCACCACTTGGACCTGCGGACAATGGCGGAAACACTACACGTTACTACGGTTAGAACTCTGTTCCGTAATTGGCAGACGACAACTGGACAAGCACGTCGAGTCTTCCCCTCTACAATATCCCATTTACGATACATGGGATTTTCCAAGTTTTCTCCAATCTCACTTGATCGATGGAGATCAGGATCAAGTGATTTATAGGAAGACATGACGTGCTGTGTGTTTGTTTTATTTCAAGAAAAATCATCCAACGGATTTAAATCATTTGTGCACAACCAAATTTTTCAGTCTTACGTATCTCGAAATTTATATCAATTGCCGGTAGAATATTGGATAGGGAAAAATGGGTCAGAAGATTTTTCTTGAATGTGTCTCACGCATACTCCATGTAAAATTTAAATCAACGGAAACGTTCGTAGAATAAAATTGCAGTGATATTTGTGGAAAAATCGGATGCTCTCGGGCATCACTGGAATTTATTGGCCGTAAAAGACATTTTTTTATGTAAAAATATTCCAAACAATATAAAAAATGGGAATTCCGATGTCAGAAATTTCGACAATTTCACAATTTTTGTTTTTGAAGTTTTCCTTTTGGAAAGGAGAGGAGAAATTATAGTTGCTAGAGGTTTATAGATTTGATTTTCAAGCATTTAATTAATTTTAAGGGCCTATTTTCATTCATTAAAAAAATTTCTTATCGGGTACTGAAAGATCTATCAAAGGAGAAATCTAGACCTGATAACCGGTTAAATGTTTGTTCAACACAAATTAATGTTGACATTTAAATTTTCTGCACACGAAGAATCCAACAAAAAACTCAACATCATCAGCTTCTATATTTCAACCTAACTATATTTCAAAAAGTATTTCTCTATTTTAATTCCCACGCCTTCCCAAGACTGCGCCAAAAATCAATTCTCAATGTTTAATTTTCAAAGAGAAAGACCAAAAAGACGAGGATAGATCTTATTTATAATGGCATCCGGTGGTAAAATCCTTCGAGGTGTGAATTTTCATATGAAGTTGATGTGTTGAACAGATATGGAACAATAAAACAGAATCCCTTGAAAATTGAAATATAAAATATAAGAAACAGCATTTCTCAATCGATCCTCGAGTCTGTCATCGCCAGGACGGTAATGGAGCCCTCGCAAGTCCACCATCGGATAAAGAGAGGCTGTCTGAAGGGGGCAAAGGGGGTAAAGGGGGCGAAGGGGGAGGGGAATCAACGACTACCCCGGTAGTTTTAATGTTGGTATCTTAATGTATATTGCCTCGATAAATCAAGGGCACTGATTGCGTCCCACCCTATATCCACTTGGACGAAGCCTCCCCCCTCCGAATCCATTGCACAAGGACTCTGATGCGAAAGAAAGATAGAGATATTTGGCCATTGTGCAAGTGAACCCAGCCTCCCCCCCC